AGTCCGCAGGCCCACGCTCTATCCACTGAGCCAAACCTGCTGGGGCAGGAGTGCAGTTTTGATAAGACTTCTGATGTCACAAACTTCAGCCCTCCTTTGAGAAATGTTGGTGTGCTGATTAAGATAAGGAACTTGGAAGCAGAAGGAAATGGATGAATTTGAGAGCTGAGTGGGGATAGAAAATTCGATTAGCTTTGGCTTCACACAGTCTGGGGTTTGAATCCCAACTTCACCATTTAGTACCTGTGTGATCATGGACAGATGACTTAATCTCTCTGTGCCTCCGTTTCCTCATCTGTAGGAATAGGATACTAATAGCAGCTACCTCGGAGTTCTCTAATTTTATGAAGAAGAATTGCAATAATGCATGAACAATGCTGGATGGTAGTGAGTGCTAAAAATGCTAGCTTGTATTAAGCTAAATATTACTCACATTTTTCAACAAGTTCATAGGTTTAATCCTCGTATTAAAATTCAGAAAATAAAGTGAAGAATATGCTCACCTTTAAAGTCCCCTCTTTCTCGTTATGCCAACAGATGAGGAAAGCCTACCTGGAAACAGGAGTGACCTGAAGGTGTCCCCAAACCCTGGCAAGAGGAAGAAGAGGCGGCACAGGTACAGGGCCAGGCCATCCTCTCTGACCCTTTCCCCGGGACACACAGCATCTGAGAGTGGGTGGTCCTGCATTACAGGAGGCCCAGTGGGCTCCAGGTCGGCAGTGGGAAGGGTACAGTAACCATTTAGGAACATAATTTTGCAAATCCCAGGAGGCTGCAGGACAATCTTTGCAGCATTTAAAAGACACAATTTTGTGGGCCTTTAAAATGGGTCTTCTTAGAATGAGTTGATGAATACATTGAGGAGGGGAAAAAAATGCTGAAGAACTCTTTCTTATTTGAACCAAACTTTCCAAAGGTTAATCATTCAGAAGTGGGGTATTCAGTTATTATGAGGTGGCCTTTTGGGGTGTGGACGATGGGGGAGGTAGGCACAGGGTCCCTGCGCTGGGAAGCCTTGCATCCTCCTTTGGCCATGTGCCCCATGTCCTCTGGGCCTCCCTGCAGGACTGTCTTCACTACCCAGCAGCTGGAAGAGCTGGAAAAGGCGTTCAGCGAGGCACACTACCCTGACGTGTATGCCCGGGAAATGCTGGCCATGAAGACTGAGCTCCCTGAAGACCGAATACAGGTTTCTGGGGTTCCCTTCTCCTTCCCAAAGACACCGTAGAGAGCATGTTAACTTCACAGCCAGTGTGACCCACAGCCACCTCCAAACAGCCAAACACACATTCCCCCACACAGGCGAACTGAGGGCCACTCAGCCACAGGCACCATAGTGCTAGAGCCTTCCTTGTGTTTATGTAAGAGGATATCC